CGGGGGACGGCTCACTTCTCTGTGAACCCCAACCAGCATCACCTAGGCGAGGACGGAGATCCTGAAGCCGCCCGAGCTACTTCAGGTCGCCTAGGGGTCTTCTGGGGAAGTGAATGGCAAGCGGGGCGAGGTAGGGAAGAACCCAGTTCTTCCCCTAACACAACCTCCTCCGTAGGCCTCACCGGCGAACTGGTGCGACTTTCGCTAGTCCATCGCTCAAAACTTGCGTAGTATGCGCACTCATGCTCCAGGAGGGGTAATTGCTCATCTTGAAAGCTCTCCCAGGCCATACATTGCAGGGAATGGAGGGGGCATGGAGCATCCCAGTCAATCCACCCGTCAGGCAAGCGGTTGGCGGAGAGGGCCTCGTAGGTCTCACTAAAGTCTTCGTAAGGGTTTGGAGGTGGTGGCGGCGGTTTCACCGACGGCCACTGCCGGCGAGGCAACCGGCGACAGAATTCGTAAGGGTCAAGCCCCCCCCTAGTCATTGGAATTGACTGACTTGGGGGAGGAGGCAGGCTCCGGCGAAGAAGGAGCCGGCCCGTCGGAAAGATCCAGAGAAAGAGGAATTCCTTCAGACATGGCGAGAATGGAGAAAAGGAGGATATTTGGTGATGGAGCAGAGTAGAGGCCAGAGGGACTTATAAATAAGCCAGGGCGAAGGAACCGAAGAGACGGTCAAGTCTCGAGGCAGCCGAACCAATAAAGCAGCTTTGAGTCGCGCGAAGGTCCAAACAGAAACGGTGAAGGGCATTGGATCAATTGGGCGGCATGATGGCCAATCTAGAGATTGGGCCGAGACAGATAAACGGGTCGGGACTAGGAGTTGGGCCCAAACTAAAACATACATGTTAACCAGCTAAATCAAAAAAGAGAGTGCTGAAGTAAAGCGCCAAAGAGAGAAAGCACATGGTGAATCTAGAAAATCAAGCAACATAGGAGCATTGTATCAAAACGACAAATCATTCCGAAGGAAAAGAGAGAGGCAAGTGTTTGTAAAGCTATGGGGGAACAATGGGGGATTTAGACGGGCGAGCCGGAAGGTCCACCCGCTTTGGACATGGCTAAGCTGGCCCCTGGATTCTGGTCGCTCTGACCACCTTCCACTTCCTCTTCTTCCTCTTCTTCCGACGCACTCGAGCTCCCCCCGTCTGGATAGGGACTGGGGTCGAACTCGGCCAAGGAGCGGCAGAGAGGAGGGAAGCCAAGGTCGGGGAGGGAGAATCCTTTGGGGAGCTGGGCCAGCCTGTCGTGGAAGACCTGTTGAGCGTGGAAGAGTCCGCAATTGAAGGACTTGGTTCCCTCCTTGACCATCCATTGAGCCCCAGGTTCAGTTTTGAGCCAAGCGGCCGTTAGCTCTTCCATCCGCTCCATCGCGACTACCGTGAAGTCAGGAGAGGACTTGAAGGATTCTACCGCTCCCTCTGCATGGCGGACCCGATCGCTCCTCTCCACCTCCAACTACTGGATCAGATCAGATTTCTCCCCTTCCAGCTCGACCACTCGAGCAGAAACAGATTCTACCTCCAAGGACAAAGAGGCCTTGTCTGCCTCAAGGGCGACGCAACGGTTCTCTTGGGAAGCTTTCTCCACAGCAAGCGCCGCGCAGCGATTTTCTTACTCCTCCAACTCCCTGGTGAGTCGAGCGACCTCCTCCTGCAGCTCCTTCTGCTTGGCCTCGGCTGCTTTCATCGCCTCGTCCGCGGCGGCCTGGCGACCCTGTTTTCGGCCGACCACCTCAATCATCCCCAGCGTAGCCTGCGCAAAGGGGTGAGGGTTAGGGGCATAAAGAAAAGGAGTGATGCATAGGAGATCAAGACCAGTACCTGACTGAGCCCCAAAAGGACTATGTTGTCAAGGTCGTCCTCGGAGCCTGCTGAGATACGAGCCTGGTCTTCTGCAGGCAGAGTGATCAGGGTCTCCAGTTGTACGTCCCCTAGGCTTTGGGGCAGGGGAGGGATGTAGAGCCTCGTCGAGCGACCCCCGGTCGCCACCTCGTAGGTCACTGCGGGTGGTGAGGGAAGTCGCTCCAAGGCAATGCCCTGAGACGACCCAACGAGGTCGCCACCCTGCATCGCGGGGTGTGGAGGGGATTGGCCAGCCATGGTACCCGGTTCCTGGGTAGCATCTTCTTGGTCCTCCACCACAATTACGGTCGGCTCTCGAGAAGGACTCTCCTCGTGGTGGGATGAAGAACGTTTGCCCTGGCCCTTCGTCTCTCTCTTCCTTTTCCTCCCTGCAGTGAAGCGACTAAGCAGGAGATTGCTGTCCATCTCCTCTCCTGAATCTTGTAAATCCACTGGAAACAAAAGAAATGGTCAGCCTTGGGAAAAGATAAACTAAACATCTGGGCAAAAGAAAAGGTCACCTACCAAAAGGACCACAGTCAAGACCTTCCTCAGGAATGTCCTTCAGCTGGCCAGGCTGATGCCCCCCGGGGATGTCCCTTAGTAGGTCGGGTTGGTGGCGAAGCTCATCCTGAACAAACTCAAACCCCAACCCGGCAAGGGTTTCCTCTGTCACCACCTATTTAATGTTCACAACTCCCTTATTGCAGAATTGGCGAGTGATGGACAAAAGGGTGGCATCAGGTGGGGGCATGGGATGCGGCGGAAGGAAGGGCGCCCTGAACCCGTGAAAGGAGATTCGGGCCCCGTCGAAACGAATACAAAGAAAGGCTTCCAGTCTTTGGTTGACCCCTTCTTATCACTAGCAAAGAGTTTACTGGACCTCTGGGAAAGACTGGCATAGGACGCCCAATCTTTATGGCCCTTGGTCAGTTTGAAGGTGAATATGAAATGGTCCAAGGTCAGCTTCACCCCTACATCTTTGCACCGGACCAGGTAACCGGCGATGTACCGGTGAGAGTTGGGGACCAGTTGGCA